TTTTTTTTTTTTTTTTTTTTTGTATTTTCCTCTTGTTTCAGAAACTCAAGGACATCAAAGTCTCGAATGGAATATTAAGAAAATTGATCTGGTTCGTGGGAACTGGCAGGAATGCTCTTGTGGTGATTTTGTGCGCTGTCGCATCGTACGTGTTCGAAAATCACGGCAAAGCGCCTTTCGTTCTTACAGGCCATATCGATGCCGGCCTACCCACCATCGCTCCACCATCATTCTCGATCACTGTTGGAAATCGAACCGAAACTTTCGTTGAAATCTGCAAAAACTTGGGTTCCGGTATAGTGATCGTTCCATTGATCTCGATCATCGGAAACGTAGCCATTGCGAAAGCATTTTGTAAGTTTTCAAACGGATATTTGATTTCCCAATAAAATTGACATTTCGTTCGATCTTTTTTCCCTCTAAAACGTTAATTGGCTTTTCAAAGCGCGAGGACAATCGCTCGACGCCACTCAGGAAATGTTAACTTTGGGTCTATGTAACGTTGCTGGCTCGTTTTTCCATTCCATGCCAGTGACAGGCTCCTTTTCCAGAAGCGCCGTGAACAATGCTTCCGGCGTGAGAACACCCTTGGGTGGTATTTACACAGGTAATCTCGCGAAATGTCTACGATTGGAAAGATAACAGGAGAAAATGGAAGAAGGAAAATTGGAAATTTATGGAAATCGATTATATTCGCCGTAGGTATTCTAGTCATTCTCGCCCTGAGCTTACTCACGCCGTACTTCTATTATATTCCAAGAGCGACTTTAAGCTCCGTGATAGTCTGTGCGGTGATATTCATGATCGAGGTAAAAATGATACGGCCACTTTGGAAATGCAGCAGTGAGTAGAAAAAAAATAAAATTGATGATTGAAAAAAATATGATAAATAAATAAAATACGATAAAGTGTTTCAAACGTGATGTATGTATATATATATATATGAAATCTCATTATAGGATTTCATAGATCATTCGAAGAATGTTAATGATATGCCATATATCTAGTCACTTCGAAAGAATCTAATTCAAAAATATGATTCCAGAACGAGATTTAATCCCGACATTTATAACATTCTTCGCATGTTTGTTCGCCGGAGTTGAATTAGGAATTTTAATAGGGGTAGCAATTGATCTGGCAATATTAGTTTATTTCAATGCCAGGCCGACAATATATATCGAATACAGAAATGTAAGTACATAACAATATTGACAAAGATTCGAGAAAGAGATTGCTATTGTTTTAAAAATATCCTCATTTTTTACCGCAGACTTCTACGTTAAGTTACATCCTCGTGCGTCCCAGCGCCGGATTACTCTTCCCAGCGGTGGACTACCTAAGGATATATCTGTTAGAGAACTTAGCTAAGGATCATCAAAAATTACTGAAAACTTTCAAGAACACGAAAATCGTCGTTCTAGATTGCAAGCACATCGATAAAATTGATTTCACTGCGGCGCGTGTATGGATAATAATCTTAAGTAGCTGATTTCGAATTTGGCCTGGATTTTACTTCTTCGAGCCTTTTCCTATCCTCTCTTCTACGTTCATGTTACAAAGATAATTTTTTTCTTTTCCTTTTGTCGTGTTTACAGAGAAAATAGCGTAATAGTGGTAATTTTTTATTATTACGACGGTAACAAAGAAAAAAATATAACTCGATTGCTCAACAATCGCTCAAAGATGTAAGATCTAGGACAGATTTGAACACATTTAAATTTGTTCAAATTCTTCCATTTGTAACATTTACAGGGATTAAATATGGTTATGAGAGATTTCAAAGAAAAGAATCATTGCTTGATCATGTTACAACCCTCCAAGGAAGTTCTACGAAGTATTCAATCGCTCTCCAAAGAAACGATTGAAGTGATTAATACCGATACCGAGCTCGTAACTGCTTTGAAAGAATTGAACACGACCAAAGCGATCAAAAAAATTGGTACGGAGATAATAGATATGTCGAATGGGACAACTACCAATGATATGAGAAATGAACTTACGAGTACGAAGCTTTGAAATCAACTACGAATTTACAGAACGAAAATTTGAACGAGATATCAAGAACTATATATGTTCAAAAAAATATTTAAAATTTCTATAGATTTCTTTTTTTTTTTTATTTCTCCTTTTTCTAATTTTTCCCTTTTTTTTCTTTTCTTCTTTTTTTATATATATATATATAATATCTGAATTGAGTTGTATTAGACTATCAACGATATTGTATAAAATCGTAATGAACATTAACGCATGTTTATGATGTACATATGAGTCGTATAATAATTCGTACGTTTTTTAAACTTTTTATAAAGATATATGAATCGACCAGCAATGATATTGTTTATCAGAAATTACTTTTTTTTTTATCTGTTTCAAAGAGATTCTATTGACACGTGCATTTCATAATACAGATGAAAGAATAATACTGTGGTTATAAATGCATATCAGAATATGTCGAAGGATTATAATATATATTTTTATATATATATATATATATATAACATCTACCAAATATGGCAAGTTTACGTTTTATTTTGTAAAAACTTGTAAGTCCTCGAAAAATAAACTATATGATATTTCTTAACAATATAAGTAATATTTAAACAAAAATATATATATTATATAAAACTCTTTGCCTCCAAATGACACAGAAAAAAACGACGAAGTAAAAAAACTATGAATCGATATTAGGTCGTGAAAATTAAATTATTTAACATTGTAATCAATTAAAGTCTAAATCATCATTATAACTATTATTGTATACGTATACGGAATTTAATTTAATAGAAAAATAAAGAAATAAAATTGTTTATAATGTGAACTAAATACTAAACAGTCATAATACTTTCGATAGTAGGAACATAAAAAGTATTTTGCAAATTTGCATTTCTAATTACATACCGTGTATCATCTTTTCGTATTAATTACACGATATGAAGCGCCTAGTAAAAAGCGCTTAATTATTTTTTTAAAAGTACATAGAATCCAAGTATAACGAGTAACATCAATGTCTAGTAATAATGATGAATATAAATATTTGAAGAAAATCTAGAAAATAGATTTGCTACTTTCACACTGTTACGATAGGAAACAAGACGAACTGTCGCATAATATTTCTGACAAATGGCAGTATCATATAAACTTCTTTTAAAGCTTCTCAACTTGAAAACTATTTTCTAGTAGTGCGTGACATCTAATATGACGTATGTGATATTATATCTAGATTAATTAAAAAACTGACTTTTACGATATACATATACATATATGAATATAACGATGATACAAATAAGATGAAAAATTGTAAGGTAAATGTGCAACCATTTTTTGTACCGTTTAATTGCAATTATCTATTGAAAAAAAAGAAATAAATATATATGCATTTTTCGCCATTTTTCTAGGCTTACTGATCCATCGTTTTGCGCATACCACGTCCGATATTTATCCTGGATGAAAGTTCTTTTGGTGATACATGATAAGCTGTATTCTTTTGAAAATGAGGAATATAATGTTGGGTATTAACAGTATGCATGTTGTAAGTTACAGGTTTTATATCCGATCTTATGGATGAATTCTGAATAGTATCAGTCTTCCGTGGATAATTAACTCCATAATACATACATTCTCTTGGTGATACCATAGGTGGTACACATTCCGAATCGTTTTTCGATACGTCATCTTTCCTATTATCCTGATTATTATTAAATACAGGACAAGTTTCTGGAATTCTTTGATAACCAGTAGCAAGAGGACGTGGTGCATATTTCTGATTCATTTGCATGTGCATATTTGATGAACCATTCCTCGTAACGGGATCCATCGTGATCGCATATGAAAACGGTACCATTAATTGATTATCTTGAGAACAATTTTGATATTCATTTGGCACAGATGTTCGATATTGACTAGTTCTCATATGAACGTCCATAGTATTATCTTTCATCCTGATGTTATTCGTTTTACAATTTTGCATATTTCCCATATAATTATCAAGTTTTACAGGAACAGAAAAATTTGGAGTATTTTCCAAAGGTTGCATCTGTTGAAAATGTTTATACAAGTTGTTTTGCATAGACGTCGATACGGGACAATTAACAGAATCCGTCAAGTTATTTGCTGATAATACTTGATTGGGAAATGTATTGCAATTACTGTACGGAGGATTTTGGAATAAAGGTGCCGGATATTGCAATAATGGATTCCAACTTTGCATACACATTGGTGGAACGTAAAATAACGGATGTTGTAAATAACTTGTTTGTTGCATGTTACTGAAATCCGCGTTACACATATGTCTGGAATTTTGAATAGGGATATTCACAGAATGTCCAGGATTCATCATATTTCCAAAAAGAAACATATCCGGAAGTGGCAAATTCCATTGATTATGTTGTGTAGTTATAGGATGATTATGAAAACCTGGTGGTGGTAGAACTGATGTTTGAGTATTATGCATCAAAATATTAGAAGGATCAGTTTGTAAGATATTCTGATTTTCTACGGTGTAAGAAGAAGTGCTTGGAATTAATGCATTTTGAGAGATAATTGTACTATCAGCTGTTTTTCTTGGTATAGTTTGCGTATTATTGTATTGATTTATATAGACACTAGGCATGTTTTGATAAGGTATACCATTTGCCATAGCAATAGCTGGATTGGAATTATTGTGCGGTAATATATTTTGTGGTGACACATGGGAAGTTTGTTCTGATTTTTGATGCACTAAATCCATCAGATGTAAATCTCGTTCGGAATTTTGAGTACTGGGGCTAGAATTATTATATTGAGCATTATTATTATCGAAATAACTCTTATTTTGTATATTTTGATGATTTTCAATTTGTTGAGCATTATTTGTATGTGATGCAGTTTGTAAATCAGAATAAAATGAATTTGCTGAAAGCTTATTTTGATGTATGGAATTATCAGAATATGATATTGCAGAATGATGTGCCATATTAAATTCCTGAATGTTATCCAAAAATTTAACTGATTTCGTTTCAGAATTATTTGTTTTATTATTGCTATTATTATTACTAGTATGTTTTTGTTCAGTCTTCACAAATTGTACTTCAGTTTCATTACAAGAAGCTTGCGAAATCTGTAATTCTTGCGGTGTATGAATAGATGTATGTATAGTTGTACAATCTTTGGTACTATTCGAAAAAGAATTTAATGATTTTATAGACTGTACATTATTTACAGCAGTTGAATCTAATGCATCAGTCTTTATATTACTAGCACCGTTACTTGTGTTATGTGAGTATACAGATATTTTTGAGCTTTCAAATTGAGAATGCATTTTTTCTCCTGAACCAATACGATTTATTCTATAATCTTTTGTTAAATTACTATTCTCGATACTCTTTTTATGATCATCTGTTTTTGTTTTTCCATTTAAATCTTTAAAGCATGTCTGAAGAATACCTGAAGATCGTCTATAAACGTTAGTATCTTTTTTAAATTTCTGTGTATATCCTTGGTCATCTTTAATATTTCTTTCAGTATTATTCTTTGTATTAGAAAAATTTTGGTAATTTCGTTTGCATGATGCAGAACTTGATTTTACTGAACTTCTTTCATTTATATTGCATTCCATAACACTTGGATTCTTTACATTTTTTCCTGAAGTATTTTGATTGAATTGAGTATTACTAATTTGCTTATTTAATAAAGATTGTTGATTTTCATATTTCTTTCTTGATATATTTTCAGCTGAATTAGATATATTGATATTGTTAACACTAGATGAATTATCAATACATCCATTTTCTTCTGTCTTAGTTGTATTTTTTGAATATCGTTGCTGTGACTTTATTAAAGATTTATTTCTATTATATTGAATATTATATGATTGAGTACGTGTTACTTGAACTTTATGACATCTTCTTGTATCATCTGTTTCATTAGTTTTCTTGTCTGGTTCATTTCTACTTGATTTTAATTTTGTTGTAACAGATTTATTTTTTTCATCTAATCCTTCTATGGAGGATTTGCTTCTATTAACGCTATCATTAAATGTAGAAAAATTTTGTTTAAAAAACTGTTGTTCCTTCATTCGAGCCCCTTTACTCATAATTAAGTTTTTATTATAACTGTTAATTTTACTATATTTATCAATAAGTTTAGGAGTTGTACCTAGAGCTACTTTTTTTGAATCCAGAGAAGTTGAAGTAATATTATGATCATTACATATATTCAACAAATCATCTTTAGATTTAGAACCCTGTTTTGAAGAAGTCCAAGATTCTTTTAAAGTATTACCTGTAAGAAAAATCATATTTTCTTAAAATGCAAATTGCAATTGTATTTTTTTTTTATTCAATTATAAATTAAAAATTAAAATTTAATTTATACCTGTCTGTTTTTTAATTTTTTGATCATTCAATTTTTTAACACTAGTCTTTGTTGTTTTTTGTATACTTGTTTTTGTTTCCAATGGCGATTGGCTTTTAGATCTTTCATTATTATTATTGTTATCATGACACTGCTTTGAGCTAATTTGATTATCTACATTACTGTCTGACTTTGGTAAGTTAGATATATTATGCTGACCATTATTCCTAATTATATAAATAATACAAATATGATATAAAATTAATTATTCTCTATATTAATCTATTACCTACCATTCATTATCTACTTCATTATGCAATTCCCCAGATTTATTTTTTTCCCCTTCATTAAGTCTAAATTGTTCTAATTGAACTGTAACAATATTCTCTGTCAAAGACATACTAATCATCTCTTGTTTATCTAGCCTTTCCATTACTAAAGACTGAGAATTTGGAAACAATGTACTAGTTATATTAACATCTTTATTCCAAACAGTTTCCATATCTTTTTGAGAACAATCAAAAATTTCAGAAGATGATTGATGTATATCTTTATTTATAGTATTATCGTTTTCATTTATGTCTTTATTTAAAATAGGATCAATCTTATCTAATTCAGGATTGTTTGAATGAGTGTTAGTTGAAACAACTTCAGTTTCTTCTTTTGTTCCTTCATTTATTTCACTTTTAGATGTATTATTTTCTGTTTCTTTCCCATCTGGAGGTGTTTTCATACTATAATATAAAAAAAAAATAAAAAACATTAAGAAACATATTTTACAAGTAACTATTAATATTACTAAATTTTCTTTAAATATAAAAATTTTTATTACTGATTAATATTAATTATATAAGGTTTACTATAACTAATAATATTAGTATAAATATTTATCAATATAATTAAATTTAGCTAATTAAATGCATCTTACTTATATGTAAATATTATTAATTCATAAATTAAAATTTTTTACAGTAAAAAGAATAATAATATAAATGATAAAAAAAATAAAAAAAATAAAGAAAATAAAAAATATATAAACGTACTGGCCTGATAATTGAGAATTACTTTTTAGCCACTGCATATTATGCATCTTGCCGATTAAAGCCATCTGCTCTATGTCAAATGATTTTTTTAAATCTTTATCAGCAGAATCCATTTTACCTATCATAAATTTAGTAAAAAAAAACTAAATATAATTCCAAATAAAAAATAATATATTATTTAAAATTTTACATATTACAGGATACACATAAAATTTTAAATGATATACAAATAATATTTATAAATCTTATATATTAAATAATCAATAATTAATATTGTCAAATTAAGATAAACAACAATAGAAAAAATTAAAAGTAAAATTAATAATCATGGAACATTATGTACTACTTTCCATCAAAATTTTTTAGATCATTTTATAAAAAAAAAATAAAATAAATATAAAAAAAACTCTTGATTAATTTAAATTTATATTATATGTTTTATGGTCTGTTAATATGAATAATAAAAACAATAATAAATAATAAATACATTTACGACGCAATTAAGAACGAATAAAAACGACATTCTTATGAATTTTCAACTCGAAAATAATTTTACACTTATTTATATAAGAATAATAAATTATCCAGTTACCGATATTTAATTTTCTGATGGCAATTAAAGAATTAAACTAGAATCTTTAACAGCAAGTTTTTCTTCCATTTAATTTGCAGAGATTAGAAGGAACAACCGACCACAGTAAAGGACGCCATAATACTGATAGGATAGGAGGATGCGCAAATGCAAATGATAGAAAAATTTTTAAAGTGAATAAGAAAAAAGTAATTTTTATACAACTTATTCATTGTACATCTTTTTCCCAAAAATATAACATTTGGTAATCTTAATACTAATAATATATATAAGAAATTTATTATATTAAAATTATGATAAGTTTTCGAAATTCAAATAATACCCCCCTTAAAGGACATTTCGAAACACTGGAAATTTATTGGTTGTAATTCGATGAAACAACAAACCTAACTTGTTCACTCTAAATTACCGACTGCAGTAGAAATGCAGTCCCTCTGTTGACAAATATGTGAACTGCACTTTCTCTCTAAACCATCACAAATGAAATGCCAATTCTTACATTTAGTTTATAGTAAGATCGTGTCCGGCGCGTATGTAACGTGTCATGAAACTAGAATATTATGTTTCGTATATAAATTTGCGCAATGAAATAATAAAAAATATATTATTAAACTATAATATTATTGTTAATTGATAATATATACTAGGTTATGCTTATTCTCATATGTGATCGATATTTCAGTGAAGAAAATGTGAATAAATATAATATTTTACAATAATTAATAGTGAGTCTAATAATACTTGTATTCAACGGAAGTATGTTATCACAGTTATTATACTATGGTATGTATTTTTCTTTTTTTTAATAAATTAAAATCATTAAATCATTCATTATTTTAAAACCGTGTAATATTTTTTTTAATACTTGATCTTTAATATGATTGCTGTCAATGAAAAGGGTCAAATAGTTATATTCGTTTTAACGCTGATTGAATTAAATAATATAAAAAGAATATTGTGAAATATTGTATGAAATAGTTCAATAATCACTGATACGTAAAATAACAAAAAAGAATACCTTCACTTATAGTAACCTTAAACGCCGGTGAAATTCAAATCATATATTTTATGTTTCGTTGA